CAGCTTCTTACACTGGGTAGGCGATATGATGTTTACACATGCGGGTCCGGTAAGAACCACTGTTTTACTCCCTGTACGTGTTTTCTTTTCTTTTTCCGGAAGCGGGGATTGAACTCTGGCCCTTGCACTTGCCAGGCAAGCACTTACTGTACTGAGCCATCTCCGGGGCCCTGAGGCTGATTTTGAAATCACAGAGACCTTCCTGTCTCAGACTCCTGGGATTCTAGATGTGCCCCCACACATACTCAGGAGAGGTTCTTTTCTTTTCTTTTCTTTTTTTTTTTTGCAGAACCAGGAATTGAACTCAGGCCCTTGCGCTTGCCAGGCAAGCGCTTATTCTACTGAGCCATCTCCCCAGCCACTTCAAAGTCCTTTATACTCTGGCGTTTCTTAATATTTTTCCATTTTTCTCTGGTTTTCAGAAATTTTACTTGAAGCCGGGTGTGGTGATGCACACCTTTAATCCCAGCACTCAGGAGGCTGAGGCAGGAAGATCATTGTGAGTTTGAGACCAGCCTAGGTTACAACCAAGCTCGAGGCCAGCCTGAACTGCACAGTGAGACCCCGTCTCAAAAAGACCAAAACCAAAACAAAACAACGCATTTTACTCTGACACATCCGAATGGGGCTTTCTTTGTGCTACTTCAGGTTTCTCCAGCTGCTTGCGATTATGGCTCGATGTCACCCGTCATTTGTGGAAGTCTGCACCAGGATCTCCTCAGACACTGCCGCGCATCGATTCTGTCTCGTCCCTTTGTCTCTCCAGGGATACGTTTTTCATCTTCCTGCCCCCGTCTCTCACCTCTCGGCCTTGTCCAGCATTCTCCTCCTCATTAGCTATTTTCCCTGACCTACCTTCTGCCACACTAATTCTCTCTTTGGCTACGTCGAATCTGAGGTTAAACCCATAGATGGAGTTCTTCACTTTGGTGATCATAATTTTCAGTCCTATAATTTCCATTTTATTTTATAGTTTCCCATTTTCTGCTGTCAATCTTGTCTTTCATTTCTTGGAACATATTTAATATAGGTTTTGAATACCTTTGCTTGAGAACTGCATTATTTTACCGCCTTAAGGGTCTATTCAGTTTTTCTTCAGGCCGTTTTCTCTCTCGGTCCGTTTGCAGTACATAGTGCTTGCACTCCTGTGTGTCCATGTCCGAAACATGGCTTTATTCTCTTCCAGTCTCCTTCCCTCCCTCCCCCTTGCTCTTGGAGAACTAGCTCCCCACTTCCTGTTATCTGTTTTTTCAGATTTTGCTATTTATTTATACCCCGGGTTCCTCGCACAGGAGAAGCCATGTGATAGTGAAGAGTGTGTGATTTCTTTCTTTCTTTCTTTCTTTTTTTTTTTTTTGGCAGAACTGGGGGTCAAACTCAGGCCCTTACGCTTGTCAGGGAAGTGTTTATTCCACTAAGCCATCTCCCCAGCCCTGAATTAATTTTTATTTTTTGCGGCACCAGGGACTGAACTCAGGACCCTGAGCTTGACAGACAAGCAGTTACTCTACTGCGCTATCTCCCTAGCCTGTGATTTATTTCAATTGACATTGTGGTCTCGAGGTGCTTCTGTCTTCCTACAAATGCCTCAAGTTTATCTTTATGGCAGAGTAGTCAGCCATTGTGTGTACATACCACATTTTCTTCATCCATTCATGTGTTAATAGACACACAGCTGCTTTCTAGACTTAGCTGTTAGGAATTCTGCTCCTATAAACATGGTGTGCCTGGATCGCTGTAATAGATTAGGGGTCTATTTCTGTTAGCAGCCACTTCTCTAAGTTTCATCTGACTTTAACTCCACGTGAGTCTGTTATTATTTTGTTTGAGAATGGGTCTTTCTTTTTTCTTTTTAACTTTATTTATTTACTTATTTATTTATTTATGTGTGTGTGTGTGTGTGTGTGGCCAGCTCAGCCCACCAGGGGGCGGGGCTGGCTGGCACGTGGTGCTGGGGATTGAACCGCGGTCCCTGTGCTTTGCTAAGCTTGTTCTAAGTAGGTGCTTTAGACCACTGAGCCATCTCACCAGCCCCAAACAGCTTCTTTTTTTTTGTGGAACCGGGGATTGAACTCAGGCCCTTGCACTTGCCAGGGAAGTGCTTATTCCACTGAGCCATCTCCCCGACCCTTGAGAGTGGGTCTTTCTTATACAGAGTCTGTTATTTTGTTTCTGGCTGGCCTAGCATGATCCTCTTGCATCAGCTTTCCACATGCTCGGATTATAGCTGTACACTACCATAGCCATCTAAGTCTATTTGTTATTTGTTGTGTAGAGGACACTGTGATTCATTACTATGCAGACAATTGGAGGAGCCAGGGAGATGGCTCAGTAGATGGCTCAGTCCCTGGCAAGTGCAAGGGACTGAGTTCAATCCCTGGTTCCGCAAAAAACAAACAAATACAACAGCTGAAATCAATTGCAATTGAAAGCTATATATGGAGCCTTCATGGTGAGCTACAATCCTGATCCCTCATGTTAAAAAACTAAGTAGCCAGGGCCGGGGATATAGCTCAGCAGCACAAGCACCTGCCTGGCAAATGCAAGGTCCCGAGTTCTACTGTCGGTACAAAAAATCAAACCAAACCAAAACAAAAAACTTAGTTGCCTAGTTGTCTTAAATTGAAATGTAGAAACCCCTGCCTCAGCGTCCTAGAGTGGTGGGATTACAGGTGTGTGCCACCACATCTGGCCTATGTGGTTTTAGAGGATGCCTGGAGATCCTAGCAATTGTGTCTCTGTCTCTGTCTCCATCTGTCATTCTCATCTATCTATCTCTGTTTATATTTATTTAGTTTGAGTTAGTGTCTGAGTACATTTCATGCTGCCTGTGATCCCAGCACTTGGAAGACTAAGGCAGGAGGATCATTGTGAGCTCAAGACCAGCCTGAACTACATAGTGAAGCCCTGTTTAAAAAAAAAATAATAAAATAAAATAAAATGTCACTTATTTTTACAGTATAAATTAATAGCAAACAAAACATGGGGTATTTTTAAAATTTAATGTCACTTTCTGTTTCTTTTATCTTATTGACAAAACTGCTATGAAAGTACTTTCAAATAACTAAGAAGCAAAGCAGATGGCCCGACAAAATAGAAGAAAAGATCTGCCTAATTCACAAACTTCACAGTTCACCTGAACAATGGAGAGAAAAGAAAGCTCCCCACATTTGGGGGCGTACATTCTCTCCCTTAAAGGACAACCCCGTTTTCAGCGCTTAAGTGTTATTTTTTCCCTGAAGCAAAAGTCTCTTTATGAAAAGAATAAAGCAATCAGGTTCACCATCAGGCGTCCCCAGGCTTGTTCCAGACTCCCTCTGGGTCCCAGGGTGGCACGGACCATATGTCACACTGGGGTTGGGTGGCACCAGGTCACCTCATAGTAAGGACCAGAGCTGAATCAGAGATCAAACTAAATACAGCGCTAAGTCTACAGGGGAGCA